TACTCATTTCTGCTGCCCCATTCTCAGGTGCCAGTCCTTTCAGTGTCTCACTGGCTGGCTGTGACCCTCCTCTGCTCCCCAGTGCCCTGGACACCCCCCCCCTTTGTTAATCCTCACCTGAAGATATTTTTTACATTGATTTTTTTAGAGAGAGTGGAAGGAAGGGAGGAGGGGAGAGAGAGAAACATGGACGGGAGAGAGACATGTCAATTTGTTGCCTCCTGAGAGCGCCCCGACTGGGATGGGGGATCGAACCTGCAACCCTCCAGTGCGTGGGCTGACACTCTAAACACTGAGCTACACTGGCCAGGGCCCCTGGCCATCTCTTTCCTGGTGCCATTGCCTCTTCTGCTCTTCCTGTTCTTGGGGATGTAAACATTTTGGTTTTGGTTTTTTCCTCCAATCATCTTAAGAGCTTAGGATCCAGAGCAAGCGTAGCTGAATGTCATCAGTTCACTGTCTCCACTTGTTTTCTCACATCACCCCTTTTAGAAAAGCATCCAAGTTCTTAGGGATATAATATTAATACCAAGTCACACTTTATTATAGTTTTAACCTTCCTTTCTGTCCCACTTTCACATTTTACCCCAAATAGGCTACAGCTGGTGAAACTAAGGAAGGTAAAAGTCTGAGTCATCTCTCAGCCTCCCACATCTGGGACATGAGAGACTCTGGGGTTGTTGAGGGTCCAACTTGCTGAGGCTGTTGGGCTTTGTGTCTGCTCCCTCCTTTTTTAAAAATTTATCTTTATTGATTTCAGAGAGAGGAAAGGAGAGGGAGAGAGAGAGATAGAAACATCAATGATGAGAGAGTCATTGATCGGCTGCCTCCTGCACACCCGACTGGGGATCAAGCCCGTAACCCAGGCATGTGCCCTGACCTCCGGGAATCGAACCCCGATCTCCTGGATCCTAGGTCGATGCTCAACTGCTGAGCCACACCTAGCCGGGCTGTCTGCTCTCTCCTTGAAACACCCTCTGAGAACTTGTTTTTTCCTTCACAGATACCCTTTGGTATAGAAAAGCCCAATCTGCAGGTATGTGCAGTTAGAGTTTACAAACAGAGGCATATTTTGCATTCTGTACAAACATACCACATAGATGCAATTTTAATCTGCTGCTGTTTTGCCCTTAACACTACCACCAGAATTCTGAGGAAACTCAAAATAACTTGTAATTTCACTCTCCAGTGTTTCAGCCCTTTGCATGTGGCTGGAATATGGGTTTTGGAGCCACCAGCTCTGGCCTCTATGACCTGGCTATGTGTCTAACCTGGATGGAAAGGGTTCTGGGGTCTGTGTGTATATGAGGACCTCAAAGCACCAGCACACAGCTGGCCTCAGGATCAGAGGGAGTGCCAGTGCCAGTGCAACTGCCACAGAGCAGAAAGCAGATCTCTGTCCGATGACATTGAGTGTCCTGGCACCTGGTGGTCTACCTGCCAGACTTTACCTGCCTCCCTTTGGATGATCAAGCATTTCCCACAGTCCCCTCTCCTTGTAGGCCTCCTGAGTAGGGGTGGGTTTAAATAAACAAGACCCTCACCCAGAGTGCCAAGGAGCCTTGGCCTTTTCCTGAGGCAGCCACATGCTGGGGCCACACGCTGGGTAGTTGAGGACTGGGTGTCACCTCCCATCCCCAGGTTCAGCTGTTCAGAAGTGCCCTGACCTAGTAGGAGCTCAGGACTGGGTGACACAGGCCCTAGGCCGTAACCCCTCCTCAGCGTGGTCTCTGGGCCTGGGATGGGCAGCTTCCTATCTCAGGATTGGCGTCAGGAGCTTGTGTTTGGGGTCAAGCTCATGGGTGTTTGAGAACATTGATTGGACAAGGACACGATGGCTCTGCCCTTAGGGTTCAGTGCCCTTCAGGGAATCTAATGAAATCCAAAACAGATGCTCATATGTCTCACCCAGGGCACATTCAAGGGACTCATGGCCCCTAGGGATGAAGAGGCCTTTCTTTTTTGTTCCCCTTAGAACATTTCTGGGGTCAAAAAAGTTTTTAAGATATGTACAAGCTAAGTCAGCACTATAAAGGAAATAGAATACCTTTTATAAAGATAATGTAGGAATTTCAATGTGATTTAAGAAAAAAAAATGTCTATTGATTTCAGAGAGAGTAAGGGAGAGGGAGAGAAAGAGATAGAAACATCAATGATGAGTCATTGATTGGCTGCCTCCTGCATGCCCCCTACTGGGGATCGAGCCTGAAACCTGGGCATGTACCCTGACTGGGAAGCAAACCTTGATCTTCTGGATCATAGGTCGATGCTCAACCTCTGAGCCACGCCTGGACGGGCTTAATGTGATTTTTAATAGCATTTTATTGAATTCTTACCCTGTGCTATGTCCTTAGCAGAGCTGTTTGTATATACATATAACCTCATTTAAACCCCATAATAGCCTGCAGATCCCCATTTTATAGGAGAGTATGTTTCAGAGAGGGTGAATAGCTTTCTCAAAGTCACACAGCTCTGAGTATCAGGCTGTCAGTTCAAAGCCTGGGTCAGTATGTGAAGACTTTGTCCAAATGCTCTGAGAGTTTTATACGCATCAGGTAAATAACAACTGATACAGTGTCACCACAACTAACAAGATTGTCTCTAGGATGACATTGAACATGTTATTTCCTGACTACCTGCTAAGGTGCCAATGGCTGAGGACTGAAAGGAGTTTCAAGGGTGTGGAGCACAGCCAAGTCTAGTGCTCACCTATGCCCTAGGTTGCATGCCACCCATCGTGGCCCACATGGCTGGAGACCTGTGTCCACTTGTGCCAGGTGCTTGAAGCGGCCCTGGCAGAGGGCAGTTGCACCTGTGTGCCTTTCCGAGAGAGACCCCTGGTGTCCCACTGTTGCTGCCATTAGGAGTACATTTGAAAAATCAAATATCAAGATGCATGTAGGTGACGTTGTGTGCCCGAAGTCATGGTCCTGTATTAATATATCATGGGCTTGCAGTGGAAGATGAGATTATGTTGTATCACAGGAAGGCATAGTGTCGTGTTTTATTGCCCAAGTACAAAGTACCCTCGCCCAGTCAGCTGGTGGGGAAGAAGGCTGGGCTTATCAGGCTCCAAAGAGCAGTGGGAAGACTCTGTGGACACAGAGGGCAGCGAACTTGCTCCAGCCCCTCGGTAATAGCGTCCTGCCCAGAACTCCCTTCGTGGAGACCTGTGCTCCAGGCTGCTGGGATTTGCTTTTCAAGCTTACCTGGAAATGCTCATGTTTGAAGAACTTGTATTGGGCTCTTCCCTCTTTTTTTCTCTCTTTGTTCTGCTGAAGGACCTTCTTTGGACTGGGCTGTTGTTTCTTCTCCACAGGCACCTGCATCAGTCAGGGGCCCTGACCATGGAGGCCCTGCAGGACCCTCCCCTGGACCCCGAGGAGGGCATGGAAGAGGACATTGCAGACAAGGTAGGCCCTGGACAGGGGGACCAAACGACCACCTGTGGGTAACAAAGCCCCAGTCTCAGGACTTGTGCTGGGGCTGCAGCCTCGGTGTGTGTGCCCACGTTGGAGTGTGTTGATTGAGATGCATTTGGGGCACCAGGCCTCATCCTGGCAAGCAGATAGAGTACAGCGGGAGATGGTGAGGGTACCATAGGGGGTAGTTAGATCCTCCACTAGCCCTGCTGTTCTCCAGCATTTCACATACATGGAAGAGGGAACTGAGAGGACGGGAACAGAACAGTGAGCACCAGCAGCTCTCAGCCCATATTTGTATGTGCTCAGCTCAGGCTGCACTGACACTCAGAGACTCAGCTCACCCACAGCCCATGGAGGCAAGATCCGGGAGCGCTGAAGGTTTGGGGGAGGAGGGCACTCAGCCTGCAGTGTTGGCAGAACCCAACAATATGTGGAATGGGCTGTTCCCTGAGAGAAGCCTGGTGAATGGGTTATGTGGGAGGAGGCCAGATCGCCATGTGTGGTAACAGCCCCATACTTCTCAAGGACCAGCTCAAGAAAAGGGAAGAGGAAGGTGACAGCACACACCCTTCACCTCTTTCTGTCCCTCCTCACCTTCTCTGTACCCTCACCCCATCCTGTCCCCCCTTTTCAACTCCTATATTCCCTCACCTCCTCCTGTACCCTTTCCTGTCCCTCACCTCCTCCTGTCCCCCCTCACCTCCTCCTCTACCCTAACCCCAACCTGTCCCCCCTCACCTCCTCCTGTATCCCCTCACCTCCTCCTGTCCCCCCTCACCTCCTCCTGTCCCCCCTCACCTCCTCCT